CCCCCCAAGGAGGGCGCCCCCAAAATCGGGGAGGGGGGGGGGGGGGGGTTTTGCTGAGACCTGGTGAACTCGTGTCAGCGATGGGGGGGAGCAGAGACCCACCCTTTTGGGGGTCGTGTCCCCCCCCCCCTGACTGAGAGGCAGGAGCATCCCACTGCACCCCCACCCCAGAGGGGCTCGGGACACCCCCAAATCCTTGGGCTGAGCACCCCTGGGGGCCCGGGGTGGGGACAGGGCATGATGTGGCCCCCTGGGGGGGTGGTGTCATTCCTAAAGTGGGGGGGGGGGGCACTGCCCGCACCCCTCCCTGCCCAATCTCTGCCTCACCCTACAGGTAACCCCCCACCCCCAAATATTTGGGAACCCCCTTGGCACCCTAGCTGGGGGGCACCCGTGTGGCTCTGGGGACAGTGGGGGTCCCCCGGGTTTGTCGGGGCTGTGGCAGAGCTGGGGGAGCCTCCCCGAGGGGCTGCAGCCACAGGAGGGGCTGGGGGTCCCCCGGCCCCTTCCTAGGGTTCCTGGGGAGCCCCAGGGCACAGCTGCCACCTGGGAATCCACCCCCCACCCACCCCACGCTCCCTGGGCCCCCACGATTTTCCAGCCCCTTGTTCCATGGGGACCTGGCAGCTCCCAGTGCAGTGTCCCCAACCTCGGGGTGACCCCACTCTCGGGGTGTCCCCAGTCTCTGGGTGACCCCAATCTCAAGGGGTCCCCAGTCGCAGGGTGACCCCAGTCCCACAGTGACCCCACTCTCAGGGTGCCCCCATTCTCGGGGTGACCCTACTGTCCTCCCCCTGCACTGAGTTTGCCAGGGCTCAGCTGCTGGCTGGGGCATCCCCGGGCAGGTTAATCACCCCCTGACCCCAAAAAATGTATCTCCTGCCCCAACCCAGGTCATCCCCAGGGCTGTTTCTCACATGGCCAGGTGCCCTCCACCCACGATGTCCCCCCCCAGGGGTGACTCAAGGCCAGCACGAGTGACCTTGGCCGAGAAGCTGCAGCTCCTCCGACCACCACAGAGCTCAACTGGGGGGGAGGAGGGACCCCCGTGACCAAAATGACCCTGTTTGGGAAAAAAAATGTAATCTCACCCCCTAGAAATGTGAGGGAAGGGGTCACCTCCACGAGGAGGGGTCACCCTTGACCAGCCTCCCCCGGGAAGCTTTTGGGGCCAGAAAAGTTTTTTTGGGACCACAAAAGCTTTGTGGGGAGGGAGTTGTATGGTGGGAGTGGGCCCTGGAGGGACCTCCACCCTTGGGACCCCCACCCCGATGGCACTGAGCTGAAGGAGCAGCTGCAGGCCCTGCAGTGCCAGGTGAGCTCCCAAAAAACACAGGAGAAAGGGGGGAATGGGTCATGGGGTTCCCCCGAGGTCCCTGTGGCAGCTGGGGGACCCAGGGCACATCCCCCCCTCCTGCTCTCCCTGGAAGGGCATCCCTGAGGATGAATTTGGACAGGAGGGGGCACACCCCGGGTTGTGCTGGTGCTGGGGGGGCCCTGCAGCTCCAGGGGGCCCCATGCCCATGGCACTGGTGCCTCCTCCAGCAGCTCTGCCCCAGCAGGAACAGGGCAGGAAGGGCTTAGGGAGACCCCACATCTGGGGGGACACAGAGGAGGCAGAGGCAGAGGAGGGAAGGACAGGGACAGCCCCCCCAGGAAGGGGCTCTGGGGGGTCCCCTGGGCTTTGTCACTTCCCAAGCGGAAGGTCCATCACCTCCAGCCTGTTGGATCCAAGCAGCAGCAGCTGATCCCAGGTCCAGGGGATGGACAACACCACTGGGGCCGGGCAGAAGGTGAGGGACAGGGAAGGGCCATGGAAGGAGAGGGGGGTCACAAAGAAGGACAAGCAAAAGAGCGAGAAGGTCACAGCCCCAGCAGCCCTCCAGCCCTCCGGGCAGCAGCAGCACGTGCTGGGCTCCAGCAGAGGTGGGGGTTGTTCCTGCCCACCCTGGGAGCAGCCAAACAACAAAAGCACCCCAGAAATGGGTGTTTTGCTGTTCTCCCGCCACCTCAGGTGAGGAGCCGGATGTGGAATATCCCAGATCCCTCCTCCATGCAGCCATGGAAGCCAGGGCAGTGGTCTCCAGGTTAACCACAGGTGTGATCCTTGACTCCACAAAACCCACAGGACCTTGGCCATGCACCATCCTGCCTCTCCCCTCCCCGCTGAGCCTGATCCGCCACATCTCCAGGTCCAACTGCACCAAGATGTTTCCTTCCACAAACCACTTCAGCTCCAATAGGAGATGGTCCCTTCTCACTGCTCTGCTGAGGGAGCAGGTCCCTCCATCCCAGCACTGGCCTCCTGGAGCTCTGGTTTGACCAAACACTTCAGGTGGGCTCAGCTCATCCCTCCAAGGGCAGGTCCCAACCCCTTCCAGCCCAGCTAAACACACCTCACCTTGTTCTTGACCCGCGGAACTCCGGAGCAACCCCAACACCCACAGCTTCCAGAAAAATGGGCGGAAAACTAAAGGAACTCTTGCGGCTCAAAGGGTTGGGATGAACATTAGGAATCCCCATGACCACTGGTGAGGGAAGATGAGACTGTTCCACTCCTTACAGCACTTCGAGACCAGCCTTTGCCCAGCACATCAAAAGCAGGGATGGAGGCACTGGAGCACACCCAGGAGGTGCTGGGGCACCTTGGGAAAGAGCCAGGTGGCTCTCCTCGTGGAGATGGTGGTGGCAGGACAAGAGGCACCATGGGAAGCTCCAATATGTGGATTTCTATTCTTAATTTTAAAATGCTGAGGGTGATGACACAACAGAAAGATGCTCATCTCAGCAAGGCCAGGCCCTCAGCTCCCACCTGGACCTGCCTAGAGCAGGACAATGGCCATGGAGATGGGGCCAGGCTGCAGCTGGGTGAGATCCAGCACCATATAATCATAACCACCCAAAATCATCCCCAGCTCACACGTGGGAAAGACCCTCATCTGACAGAAGGTCCCACAAGAGCTCAGACTTGGAGATCTTGGATCTTCTGAACTCCAGGCCCCTGGGGATGCTGTGGATGCTCCTCATGAGGTGCCTACAAGCCACAGTTGAGCAGAGCAAGGCTACTGCCAGGGATTTGCAGAATCCATGCTCCCCACTGGATGTGCTGGAGGAGCTGGATCCCAGCTGGATCCCAGTGCCTGGCAGCTGGTGAGCACCACAGACCTATGTCCATCCCACCCAGCCAATTCTCCTGGGGACAACCAGGTGCTGCTAAGGAGAGAAAAGCAGCAGGGGTACCCTCAGGGAGAGCCCCAGAAGCCAAGTTGACCCTAACACAGCTCATCACTGCTCACCCTAAAGCTGACCCGACTTGGACCATCCACAGTCCAATGCAGGAAGGGAACAGTCAGAAAATTTGGGAGCAACACCCAAGACAAACACAGGGACCCCAACCTGCCCAGCCCCAGGGAACCCACCCTGGGCCCCACGGCAGCTCTAGGAGGAAAGGAACAGGGGGGGGATTCACTCAGGATCTCGGTGACAGGTGGCATCAAGTTTCTCCCAGTTCCAAGGTCAAGCACTGACGGAAAAGGACGGATCGCTGCCATCTCAGCGGGGTTTGCCTCTTTGGGACAGGATGTGTGTGTGAGCAACATCTGGAGCAGCACCAGCTGGTTTTTGCTGTGAAGATCTGCCAGAGAAAGGAGGAAGAGTTTTCCAGGAGTGGGATGAGGGTGCTGAGCCTGATCCCCCAAACCTCCCTGCTCAGATCTGGGGAGAGGCAAACAAGCCAACACGGTGCTGCTGGAGCATCTTGCTATAAAGCCACCTGTGTTTTGTCACAGGAGGTTTCACAGAGCAGCACCAGCAGCACTTCCACCAGAGCAAAAGCACAAGGTTGATTCCCAAAATCCATGTATTTTAGGAAGAGAGATTTGCAGCCAGAGAACAGCAGATCTTTAGCCCCAACACTGGGTCACTGGCCCTGACAGGCTCCAGCCAGGCCAGACCCGGCACACGGGGTTTGGCTCCTGAGCAGCTCCCAGAACACTCCTCCCTCACCCCCATTTCCACCCCTTAACCTTATCCCGCTTCCATGTGCTGAAGTTTATCCCCTAAGGAAGCCCAACAACTCCTCATCTCCATGGAAATGACGCAGCATTCCCACTGTCCTTGCCCCGGCTCCGGCAGGATCAGGGATAACGTGTTGGGATAAGGTGCTCCCAGCAGGTGCCTCAGTCTTCCTGGAATTGTGGCTGTGACCCATCTTGTGCTGTCCTGGAGCTGCAAGCAGAGCCCATCCTGGTTATCCCCTGGAGCTGGATTCCCAAGGCTCCAACACATGGATCAGCAGCGACTCCTCCTCTTGCTCTGCTCGGCAGCACGGAGGGCAGGGTTGGGGGGTGGGAATCCACGACATTCCCTGCAGGACCTGGCCTGGTCCCAGCTGGAGGGGGAACTGGAGTTTGCTCCACCCAGATCTGCTGTTCCCACTCCAGGTATTCCACAGTCAAGCACAACCCCTCCATCTCCAGCCCATTCACAGTTCTCCAGAAGCTCCTGGACTGTTCACAGCTCCTCTCCCACGGGGATGATTCCCATTGAAAGCTCCCCCAGCCTGAGCAGCTGCAGGGTGGGCGGTGTGAGACACGGGTGTTAATTCCATGAGGATGGAGAGTGGATGGGAGGGTTTGTGTGGAGCCCCCTCCATTCTCCAGCCCAAGGTGCCCTTTGGCTCCTCATCCTCACCCAACAGACTTGCCCTGTCGGATGTCTCCCCTCCCAGTGGGTGTGTGGGCAGGGATATGGGGGCAAAGCCAGGCTTGGAGTCACCACACCCTTTTTATACAGTAACCTGATGCAGCAAGAGAAAAAAAAGGGAGGGAGATGCTGCCAAGCATCAGCTCCCACCCACCACGCCAGCAATTCCCAATGAAACTCCGGAATGGCTTCCAGACAAATCCCCCAAAAACATGAAAGGTGAAATGCAGCTCCCACACATCTGCTTCCCAAAGCTGCCTCAGGTTTTGGAAGAAAGCAAACCCACTTTCCAAAGCTGTAGGATCTGAAATCCCTGGTAGCAAAAATTTAATTTTATGATCGAAGACAAGGAGAAATTCAGAAACTTATTCAAGCAACCAACCGAGAAACCACTAAATATCCCATATTCCTGGAACTTAAAATGTCCTCCTGGCAGCAAAACATCCACCTGAGAGCACCAGCCCACGGGCATATCACCTGTCCTGCCTCCTCCCCAAGCCCAGGGGGTGCCAGGGAAGTCTCTGAAGGTCCGCAGTGTATCCAGACATCCTCTGAGCCTCTAGTGTCCGACGTGAAAAGGAGAGAAAACAAAGCAGCACACTCATAAAGCCCAACAAAGACATCGACAGTGTTAGATTCTCCTAAAAAGTAGTCCCAAATCCATGCTTGCTGCCCCCAAAGCCTGGGATCAGCGCATGAGCAGGCTGTGCTTTGGGCCATCCACCCTCTCCAGCTTCTCAAAGTGTTTCCTGGCGTTGCGGATGTTGATCAGCGTGGCCGCGGAAGCTGCGACGGAAAAGGGACAGGGGAGATAAAAAGGAGTTAAAAGGGGGCAGTGGCCACGTCCTGAGGGCAACAGCCCTGTCTGCAAGGTCCTGCTTCATCCTGCTGCTCCCAGGATGGGCAAAATTCAGTGTGGGAGGCTCCGGGGGAAATCTGATGTGGGAGGGTTTTGGCAGAATTTGATGTGGGAGGGTCTGGGCAAAATTTAATGTGGGAGGGTCTGGGCAGAATTTAATGTGGAATGGTCTGGGCAAAATTTAATGTGGGAGGGTCTGGGCAGAATTTAATGTGGAATGGTCTGGGCAAAATTTAATGTGGAATGGTCTGGGCAAAATTTAATGGGGAAGGGTCTGGGCACAGTTTAATGTGGGAGGGTCTGGGCACAGTTTAATGTGGGAGGGCCTGGGCAAAATTTCATGTCAGATGATCTGGGCAGAATTTAATGTGAGATGGTCTGGGCAAAATTTAATGGGGAAGGGTCTGGGCAAAATTTGATGTGGGAAGGTCTGGGTAAAGTTTAATGTGGGATGATCCAGGCACAATTTAATGTGGGATGGTCTGGGCACAGTTTGATGTGGGAGGGTCTGGGTAAAATTTAGTTGGGATGGTCTGGGCAAAATTTAATGTAGGAAGGTCTGGGCACAATTTGATGTGGGAAGGTCTGGGCAGAATTCAGTGTGGGAGGGTCTGGGCAAAATATAATGTGGGAGGGTCTGGGCACAATTTAATGTGAGGGGGCCTGGGCTGTTTGCTGATCCAAGAACACCACGAGGAAGAGCCCAGTGAACTCCAGCCACAGGGAGAGCTGCACAAGTCCCCAGAGCTGCCCATCTGCTGTTCCCCAGCACAGCCCTGTCCCAGCTGTGCCTCAGTCACACAGTTTCCCTATTTCAGTAACAAATGCAAGGGCAAGCACAGTGTGAGGCACGAGGTGTCCTGGACAGTGTCTCTGGAGCACCTCAGATCCCACCAGGAGCTCCAAGTGGAGCTGTGTAAACAGTTAACTGGTCCCAGGGGGCCTGGGCTGGCACTGCTGCAGCTTCTCCTTTAGGATAAATAGATGCTGCTATAATTAGAGTCCTGTCCACCAAGAGCAACACTCCAACATGATCCATCCCTGCTTCCTCTCCAAAACTCACCGGGGCTGCCAGCCCAGAACAGCCCAAAATAGGTTATTAGACATGACCTGCTAAACCAGGTCACATCTGTTCTGGTGGTTCCTCTCACAGCCACAGATCCTCCCCGTGACAGCAAGAGCTCAGCTGTCCCAGCACATCCCACCTCTGCAGAGTCACTGCTCACCCACCCTCCCCACCCCGCTCAATTCCTCTCCCTCTCTTCAGTTTTGTAATTAAATCTCATTTTCACAGTTGAAACTGTACTCATTTTGGCCTGTTGGGTTTTTTTTTTCCTGTCCTAAACAGGCTTATCTTGGCTTTGACTTACGTATGGAAGGGTCTGACATAACCACCATCACGTATGTGTTGGATGTAAAGATGTCAATGAAAGCAGCAAAGTTAGAGTTCCTGACCTCCATGCTCTGGAAAGAGGCTGCCAGCTTACTGAAAAAGTAGAAATAAAGGAAAAAAAAAGTAAATTAATTATTCCCGTACCACTGCTCAAGCAGCTTTTGTGCCCACATGGCCAAAATCCCTTATTTGAGCTGTGGGGAACAAAGCAGAGTTTGAATTCCCACTTGGCAGGGAAAACCAGGTGTGACCACAGCAGGGTTGGTTTTTAAGGACAAAACTCTTTGGCTCTGGGCTAAATGAGAACAGTACAAAGTGATTTGTGCATTGAACAGTGAAGGAAACTCCAGACACACAACCCCCTGACTGAGCCTGGACACTCTGGAGGACCCAGCAGAGATAAGGATAAAACTGGAACATCTGGAGACATCTGAACACCTGTAAACCATGGAGCCACTTCTCCATCCACCCAGGCTCCACACACTTCCAGGTATAACCAGACTGCAGAGCCTGGAGGCTGCTCAGAGCCAAGCTGCCCCAAAGCTTTCCACTTTTCCATTCAAAATATATGGATAAATAGTGCCTGGAAGCCTCTTCCTCCCCAGCCAGCCCAGGACTGGAGCAGAGCTTTCCACCTGACATTCCAAGCACTGTCATTGATTTATCCTGGAACTTTCCTCCTTTGCCCAGGAGAAAACAGCTGTTTCAGAACAAAAAAACCTCTTCAACCATCAGCAAAGGAGAAAGATATAAAAGCAACAACTTAAGTGAGCTGTGCTTAAGCCCAGTACAATCCCACAGAACTGGGATTCACTGGAGAGCCCCACAAAGCCAAAATCCCTGCTGAGGTTTCTCCCCACCTCCTGATCACATCAGCTCACCTGCAGCTCAGCTTGAATTGTTTGATGATGTTGCTGATTTTCTCAAACCTGTGGACGTCCCTCTGCTCTTTGCACTGATAGTGAGAAATGACCTGGAGAGGGGGCAGAGTCAGTCAGTGAGTCCAGCACAGGTTCCTCACTGTCAACAGCAATTCTGGGAATGGGTGGGACCAGGATTCCCTTTGCCTTTGGCTGATAGAATCTTGGGAACTATTTGCAAGAACTCTTGTGGTGCTTTCAGGGAGGAACAGGAGCCAGTAACACAATCACCAGGGAGCCTTTCACACACACAAAGCCTGGAAATATGCAGTTGTCCACCTGAGGTCTGGATGCTGCAACTTAGCAGCAATTTAAATCTTGATTCAAAGTAAAAGAATGTGCAAGGAGAGGAAAAAAATGCAACCTCAGGAACGGGAAAGGACACCTGCCAAGTGCTGGGATGGCTCTTCTCAGTCTAAGGTGCTGTGGATTCTCAAGGAACCTGAGCACAGGCAGGATGCACAAACGGAGCTCCTGGAGCCAGACCAAGCTGTTCCTCCTGGAGAAAAGCAGCACAAAGGCAGCTGGATTCCTCAGGAGTTCTCTATCCATCAGTCCAGTCAGACCAGCACTGAGCTGCCTCATCCAGAGCACTTCCCTCCTCTTCCTCCCACGCAAATCCAGCAGCAGTTGCAGGATTGGATTCAAACATTCAGGGGATCTAAAGCCTTTTAGGAATCCTTGCAGTGGGATCTCTCTGCAAACCTTTCTCCCCAACCCCTTCCCTCCTCAGCCACATGAAGAACAGGCCAAGAACTGCATTTACTGCACGAGGGAAGGGCACAAAGAGCTGCACCATCTCCATTCCCACAGCAAAGCAAAGAGGAATTTTAAAAAACCTGAAGCCACAAGATTCTTCAGAATCACAAAATCAACTGTTACTGGCAGTGCCCTTGCACAAGGATGTGAAACTCTGGAGTCACATTTGTGACTTCTGAGAATTAATGGGTTTTTTAAGTTTGGGGTTTTTTTCCTCTTTTTTTCCCTTAAGCACCTTAAAACAATCACTCTTTAAACCTGCCCAATTATTCACACAAGGACAGGTTTAGCCAGATTCAAGGGTTGCATTCCCAGTGTGAAGTTCCTTCCTAAACATCCCAGATGAGGTGTTTTTTTTTTTTTAAACTATGATTTGAACACAATTTCAGAATCAGGTTTCCAGAGTAAGATTCCACAGTAAGATTTTCAGAGTTAAGATTTCACTTCAGGAGAAAAAAGCCCTGGGGGCTTTTTAATGTATTCCATAAATACATGGAATATATTATTATATATGAATATGTATTATTATTCACATATTTCATAAATACATGAAAAAAGGGAGATGAGTCTTATAAAAGTCACCATCACACTGAAAATAAGAAGTTTTGTAGCAAAGATTATTCATTTTCAGTTAAAAATGTCCTTCACTGTTACACACCCCCAAGGTGGAACTATTTATTATCTAGAAGAGGTCAAAAAGCAGAACTTGCCAGACATGGCAGGTGTTTGCTTCTGATAGTTTAAGAAGGGGGAAGAGTCATGGCTCCTTTCCCACATTCCCTCCATCATTTCCAAATCCCCATCAAGGAAAGCACTCAAAAAACTTCAAACTCTTTCCTTCAGCTCAGCAAGAGTTTTGGGGTAAAGACTGAGGAGCCAAATCCATAATCCAAGAGTGTGGATGGACAAGCAGCAGTGGTGGTTTTAAGCAGCACCTTTCACCTGGCAGAGACAGGGATTGGGAGCACAATAACCTGGAAAACCATTGCAACCCAATGGTTCATGATCCTTTATCTGTATTCTGGGTTTGCAGAGCATCAAACCCCAAAAGAAATCAAGTCCAGTTTAAATGTCACAGCAGGAGGAAATGAAAAGGCTTCTTTTTCAAGCTAAATGAGGTTCCTGCCCTGTGCAGAAAGGAATTCTCAAAGAAGTCTCACACTTTCACAGCCTGGAAGAGGGAAACACCAATAAACCCTCAGCTCAGCTGCTGGAAGGGGGAATTTTGGGAAGGTCCCATGAGCCACAGAATCATATCAGCTACTTTCAGTATCCCAAGGGCTGGATCAAAGCATCCCCTGTGTGGGGCTGGCACCTCCCAACAGCACTTCCATGGAATCCTAAATGGTTTGGGTGGGAAGGGACCTTAAAGGGCATCTCATTCCACTCCCTGCCATGGGCAGGGACACCTTCCACTAGCCCAAGTTGCTCCAACCTGGCCTTGGACACTTCCAGGGATGGGGCAGCCACAGCTTCTCTGGGCAACCTGTGCCAGAGCCTCCCCACCCTCACAGCCCAGAATTCCTTCCCAATATCCCATCTAACCCTGCCCCTGGCAGTGGGAAGCCATTCCCCCTTGTTCTCTCTCTCCAGACCCTTGTCCCAAGTCCCTCTCCAGCTCTCCTGGAGCCCCTTTAGGCCCTGGAACTCACCAGGAAGGTGGCTCTCTCAAACAGCAGCACTTCATCTGCCTCGATGATCTGAGCAAAGTTCCTCAGGTTCATCTCCAGCTGCTGCACGTTGGGGATCAGCTGGTACACGATGCTGGACCAGGCCTGGCAACACAGACACAACATGAGGGGTCACCAGCACTTCTTTGGTTCCCAATGTGCTCAGATTCCCTAAAAGTCCAGATGGCGTACAGTGCACCTCCCAGATGTGGTTAAAGTTTGCACGACTCGGGCCAGAAATGTATTCCCGCTACTTAGCAACGCTGCAATGGAGGGAGGGAGAGGACAAGGTGGGAGCATTGGTCAGTAAACTCAGGATGTATGAAGACACTGTCACCGCCCCATTACGAGCCCACGTCTCATCTGTGGAAACCAAACTGGCTGAACACGTCCGAAGCCTGGAAGAGAAGATTGAAGAGGGACACCAAAAGCTAAGAGAGGAAATTAAGGAAGGGATGTTCCATATCTCGCCAGGACAAACTGTGAGATAGCTCTCTGCTATCAGGAGCCAGCGTCCCCCAGCCAAGGAGAGAAGGTACACTCCACATAGCAATCTATGGTTTTACCTCCATGAGCACGGAGAAGATATGAGGAAGTGGGATGGGAAACCCACCTCTTCCTTAGCAGCCCGGGTATGTGAACTGAAAAGAGGAACAAGTACCACAAGGAACTCTCCAAAGGTTAATGCTGCTCCAGTCTCTCATGGGCAAGACTCCAGACGGTACAGGAATGATGATACGTCTAAACCTCTTGAAGGGACCTCCAGGTCATACCCACAAGAAGAGCACAATGAGTACCATGACCAGGACTAGGGGTGCCCTGCCTCTAGCCAGGTAGAGGAGAGGGACAATCGGGTCTATTGGACAGTGTGGATTCGGTGGCCTGGCACATCAGAGCCACTCACTGGAAAAGGGTGAGGCTCCAGAGCACCTACAGTACATTGACGACATCATTGTATGGGGGAACACGGCGGGCGAAGTCTTCGAGAAAGGAGAGAAGATCATCCAGATTCTCCTAAGAGCCGGTTTTGCCATTAAACGGAGTAAGGTCAAGGGACCTGCTCAGGAAATTCAGCTCCTAGGAGTGAAGTGGCAAGATGGACGCCGCCTAATCCCAATGGAGGTGATTAACAAAATAGCAGCCATGTCCCCACCAACCAGCAAGAAGGAAACACAGGCTTTCTTAGGCGCTGTGGGCTTTTGGAGGATGCATATCCCCGAGTATAGTCAGATTGTAAGCCCTCTCTACCTTGTGACACGGAGGAAAAATGATTTCCAGTGGGGCCCCGAACAACAACAAGCCTTTGAACAAATTAAACAGGAGATTGCCCATGCGGTAGCCCTTGGGCCAGTAAGGACAGGACAGGACGTGAAGAACGTGCTCTACACCGCAGCCGGGGAGAATGGCCCTTCTTGGAGCCTTTGGCAGAAAGTGCCTGGGGAGACCCGAGGACGACCGCTGGGATTCTGGAGTCGGGGATACAAAGGATCTGAAGCCAGCTATACACCAACTGAGAAAGAGATCCTGGCTGCCTATGAAGGAGTTCGAGCTGCCTCAGAAGTAATCGGCACCGAAGCGCAGCTCCTCCTGGCACCCCGACTACCAGTGCTGGGCTGGATGTTCAAGGGAAGAGTTCCTTCCACACATCACGCCACCGATGCCACGTGGAGTAAGTGGATCGCTCTGATCACGCAGCGAACCCGGATAGGGAACCCTAATCGCCCTGGGATTCTGGAAATTATCACCAATTGGCCCGAAGGTGAGAGTTTCGGACTATCCTCTGAAGAAGAGGAGGAGAAGGTGACACGGGCTGAGGAGGCCCCACCATATGACAAGCTACCAGCAGATGAAAGGCGATATGTGCTCTTCACGGATGGCTCCTGCCGCATTGTAGGGACAAACCGAAAATGGAAGGCAGCTGTATGGAGTCCCACACGGCGAGTTGCAGAAGCGACCGAAGGACAAGGTGGGTCAAGTCAGTTTGCAGAGCTTAAAGCCGTTCAGTTGGCTTTGGATATAGCTGAACGAGAGAAGTGGCCAAGACTCTATCTCTACACTGACTCATGGATGGTGGCCAATGCTCTGTGGGGATGGCTGGAGCGATGGAAAAAGGCCAACTGGCAGCGCCAAGGGAAACCCATCTGGGCGGCGGAGATGTGGCAGGACATCGCTGGCCGGGTAGAGAAACTGAGTGTGAAGGTCCGTCACGTAGACGCTCATGTAGGCAAGAAACGGGCTAATGAGGAGCATCGTAACAACGAGCAGGCGGACCGAGCTGCCAGGATTAAAGTCTCTCAGGTAGATCTGGATTGGCAGCACAAAGGAGAATTATTTCTGGCTCGATGGGCCCATGACACCTCTGGTCACCAGGGGAGAGATGCAACATACAGATGGGCTCGTGACCGAGGGGTGGACTTAACCAAGGACATTGTCTCACAGGTCATCCATGACTGCGAGACGTGTGCTGCCATCAAGCAGGCCAAGCGGGTGAAGCCTCTATGGTATGGTGGACGGTGGTCAAAGTACAGGTATGGGGAAGCCTGGCAAGTTGACTACATCACGCTCCCCAAAACCCGCCAAGGCAAGCACTACGTACTGACCATGGTAGAAGGAAGTACTGGATGGTTGGAGACATACCCCGTGCCTCATGCCACTGCCCGGAATACCATCCTGGGCCTTGAAAAACAAGTCCTGTGGCGACACGGCACCCCGGAGAGAATTGAGTCTGATAATGGGACCCATTTCAAGAATGGCCTCGTAGACACCTGGGCCAAAGAGCACGGCATTGAGTGGGTGTATCATATCCCCTACCATGCACCAGCTGCTGGAAAAGTTGAGCGGTGCAACGGACTGCTGAAAACCACCCTGAAGGCACTGTGTGGGGAGACTCTCAAACACTGGGAGCTGCATTTAGCAAAGGCCACCTGGTTGGTCAACACCCGAGGCTCCATCAATCAAGCTGGCCCTGCCCAATCAGAACCTTTGCATACTGTAGATGGAGATAAAGTCCCCGTGGTGCATATGAGAGGAATGTTAGGGAACACTGTTTGGATTAGTCCCACCTCATAGGGAAGACTGGATTAGTCCCACCTCAAGCAAAGGCAAACCCATCCGAGGGGTTGTTTTTGCCCAAGGGCCGGGTTTCACCTGGTGGGTAATGCAAAAAGATGGGGAGACACGTTGTGTACCACAAGAGGACCTAATTTTGAGTGAGAATGGTCTGTAATGTTTCATTGTATATATATATATATATAGATGTACATAGTTTTAAAGGGATATAGTTTTTAAAGGGGGTTAATTTGGGCATGACATGGATGGCATAGAATAAGGGTGGATAATGTCCTAGTTAGGACAGCTGAGACCAGTTCATCAGGGTATGGGTGTAACCCAAAACTGTGTATTCTATAGCCTTCCATGCCATTTCCCAGAAACACTCAGAGAGGGATTATTTGCAGTTCTGGGTATTGACAGCCTGGGCAACACTGAGAAGCTTCTCTCACCTCAGGTACCTACAGTGGACACCACCAGAGGAAGCCCAGACCTGAGGAGACTCTTCACCAAGTCAAGTTCTTCTCCACATCACTCAGAGAAACCATAATGCCACTAAACAGGCTTAAACCACCCTCATTTGAAGTTGGCAATGCTTCTGTCTCTTCCTCCCAGATAAATCTGCTCAGGTTTCCAGAGATATTTCAATCTGGAGGAAGGTCAGATCGCAGATGGACACTTGGCAGCCCATCCCTGATCCAGAGAGCTCCACCCTATCCCAAGGAGCCAGGAACAAGCCCAGGAGGGGCTGGGGATGCTGTGATCAACATCTGTGCTCTTCCAGACTGGGATCCTCCCAGCTCAGCTCCCCCTCTCTGCCCCTCTGCTGACCCGGGTGTGTGGCACTGCCTGACCAGACCCTTCCCCAGGAGCCAGCTGGATATTTGGGATGCCTGTTTGCCAAGTACCTGACTTCTTTTAATTAATTAATTAAGCCCAGGATGCCCTGACACCATTTACACCCTCCAGAAGGAGCTGTTGCAGAACTGACCAGAGCCAGTCTCTGCCACAACACCTCTTCCTCTTCTCATGCTCCTGTCTCCAAGTGGGAAGGCAGATATGGAGAGGGAGCTGTACAAACCTTGTAAAGGGTTTCATCCCAGATGGAGGTTCTAAAACAAACACATTCCAAGGGCCGGGAGAGGCGTTTCAAGTCCTCTTCACGCTCCTTAAAAATCTGGGAGATGAAAAGACAGAGCAGCAGTTGAGTGAAAGCAGTTTTGCCTGTGCTGTGGCCACACAGACCATGGATGTCTTGCTAGATTATCCCAGACTGGTTTGGGTTGGAAGGGACCTTAAGGATCATCTCATTCCACCCCCTGCCATGGGCAGGGACACCTTCCACTAGCCCAGGTTGCTCCAAGTCCTGTCCAACCTGGCCTTGGGCACTTCCAGGGATGGGGAATCCAAAACTTCTCTGAGACCCAAAGCTGAAATAACTGCAGTGGGAGTGGGAGTGAAGGCAGACAGGCTGGAGTGTCCCTGAGGACCTAAACTGTGACAAATCCCTGGCAAAAAGCTCCATCACTGAGAGCAGGATGGGAGGGAAGCAGCTGAGGGCCCTCAGAATGAGCTCACACAGACTTCTCTGCCCACACCACACTCTGCCCTCAGAAGTTATGGGCACCAAAAAAGGGCAGCAGAGGAACAGCAAAGCCCAGCCAGGCTCCTCTGGAACTGCTGGAACAGCAGCAGGACAGCCAGCAAGGGGAACACACAACCACCACCCTCACTTGAGTCTTGTGGGAACATGACAGAGCATGAACCAAGCCCCATGAAATGCTGGGCCAACACCATGTGGGTCCTGGACAGAACAGGCTTCACTAAGACCTACAAAAACAGTGATTTAGCCCAGTGTTTGCATGGGCTACTGAGCAGCAGATACCCTAAAACAGCTCTTGATGGGTGGTAAGGCCCCTCTTCTGCCCACCCCTCCCTTCAGGGCCTCTCCTGAGTCTGTACCACTGGTTAAACCAGTATTTGTGCACTAGTCCCTCCACAAATCTGGACAGGACTGCAGCAAAGAAGATTTTAGACTCATCCTTCCACCTGGAGGGAAATGAGGAAAAGCACCTTGAGCCCTCTGAAAGAGCTCTGAGCTGTTTCTGCCCTGAGCTGGAGGGCAGAACTAGAACTGGAAGAGGAAGATCTCTGCTCTCAGATAGGACAAGGGATCCAAAGCCCACCTGCCACGTGGAAAGGTGTGTCTGTGCAGGGAGGTCAGCTCTGGTTTCAGCCACAGGACCTGCACGTTCCCTCTGCAGATGCCCAGGCAAAACTCAGTGGGAACTGGTAAAAAGTTTAATAAAACCTCTTATTTCTGACAAAACCCAACACCCTGAAGTGGTCTCCAAACTCCCTGCAATGCAGGGAGTGGCCAAGCAGCTGGGGATGTGCTCAGACCCACACAGCTCAACTCCCTTGGGCTATCAGGAGCTGTCCAAGCACAAAAAGGAAGGTTTGTAGGAATTCAACATCTTCCCACCTCCCTGTGACCTTTCAAAAGCTCCAAACAGAACAGAAGTCACCCAACGCCTCTGAAAGGTTGATCCTCAGCCTTTGGTTAGGTGCTTGGGTGCTTCAGAGGATCTCTGGGCAGGCAGAGCAGGATCGACCAACCGAAACCACCTCCTGGTTAAGTGGGAAAGTTCCACCTCTTATTTTTTGGTGATGCTTTAGAACAGAGCCTGTGCTGGACTGAAAGCAGCAGCTGAGCTGAAAACAACTCTCACTGTCACCACCACCATCCAAATGGCAGGCAGGGAGTTTAAGGAGCTGGATTTCCTTCAGTTCCACCTCCCTTCTGGAGCCAAGGTGTGCTGGAAGCTCTGGAACCAGCACTATAAAGGGAAAGGCTTTGAGTGGTTGTCACTAAAAATCACTGCTTCTGTTCTCCGGGACATTACAAGATGACACACTTCAAAAAAGGCAGAGAAAGCTTAGAGGGCTCTGCCAAGCCTGAACATCTGAGAAACCCTTCGAGGAACAGCCCTGGCAGGGCTGTGTTTGATGTGTGACACCGCCCTGCACCCGCACAGGCAGGAGATGCTCCGTGGGGAAGCATTTCCATGGCAACCCCCGGCTTCTCACCAAATCCCGCTGGTCCTCCTGCACCAAGTCCATCTTGTGCACCAGGCAGAAGATCTTGGCATCAGGGGAGTTCTGCAGAATGGCCTCCAGGCAGGACTGGTAGTAGTGCATGTCCTTCTCCAGCTCCCGGCTCTCCACGTCGAACACGTAGATGAGAACCTCCACGTTGCGGAAGATGTTGTCCCTCTGGCTGGTGAAGTAGTTCTCCATGAAGGTGTCCTGCCTGAGGAGCAGAGCAGGAAAGCAAGGAGACTCCTGTTAGAGCAAGCAGGACTTGCTTGGAAAGGTGAAGAAGGTGCTAAGTGTAAAATATCAGGGCTTTCATTTGGAGCTGCAGATCCCACCGCAGGAGCCCGTGTTAGAGCTCTATTCCCCATGACAAAGCTCCCTGAGCATTCCCAAGCAAAGCTGGAAGCTCCTGAAGAGCATCAGCCCACCAGTTCCACCTTAAGCTGAAGCTTCCCTTGTGCTCTGTGTCCTGCTTCTGGATCCACACTGGCTTCTAAAGAGCTGCTTATAAAACACCCACAGCAGCAGAAGCAGCTGAAATATGACCAAGGTATCAGTTTAGCCTGTTATCCCAGGATTTCAGTCTCCCCTGGCTTTGGTTGAATGTGTTTAGGTGATGCATGAGGCCATGGAGCTGAGGAAGCTGAGCAAAGCTCAGCTGAGGCTCTGTCAGAGGGACAGCATTCCTCAAAAAGCTGCTTCCAGGAGCCACAGGATCACTGGTAACCTTCAGCATCACCTCTCTGCACACATCCCACTTGGAACAAGCTGGTGGTGGGCAATTCCAAGAGCAGTAGCACCTCCCAGTACCTCAGGAGAAAGCCCAGATGGAGGATTCTCTTGGCACACAAGCACCACACTCCCCCCTTGGAGCAGAATCTGCTCTGTTCCATCCTTACCTGATTCCCCACACCACCCCCAAAGGACTCAAAAAGAAAGGAATAAACAGTACCTACCCTCCACAGTCCCACAGGTTTAACACCAGGTTCCCCAGGAATCTGACATGGGAATGCTCCACATCAACTGCAGAGAGACAACAGGAGTTTACTGACTGTACCACACACCTGGATCAGAGCTGCCTCCTCCAAAAATCAGCAGAGAATCATGGAATGGTTTGGGTTGGAAGGGACATTAAAGCCCATCTCATCCCACCCCCTGCCATGGGCAGGGACACCAGGTTGCTCCAAGCTCAGTCCAGCCTGGCCTTGGACATTTCTGAGGATGGGCCATTTCTCCCAACACAGCCCCCAGTTGGTAAAATCCCACCTAAACACCACTGCTGGACATTTCCCCCAGGAATTCCAGCCTCCCTGCCCAGGGCACTGCTCTCCTGAGAAGTGCAGCAGGTGCCCCCCCCTTCAACCACACGCTCCCTGATCTCTGGGATGTTTTAGGAATGATTTTAGTTGCATCAAACCCTGCAAGGCCTGAATCCAGCCTTGACAAAATAAACCAATAACACAGAGAATGGAAACTTCAGGAACAGGCCAAATTTACACCAATCCCTGACATTAAGCCCTCACATTAAATCCTTCCCCATGAGGAGTGTTAGATACGGACAATTCACCCTCCTCTTTCAGAGGAACCACTTCTTGCTTTTTCTCATCAATGGCTGCTTTGGAAGGGGAAAAAGAAAAGGCACAAGGCACTAATTAAGCCCAGTGTTTAATCCTTCCAAAACCACGGGCAGATTGCAGGATCCCTGTGCTGGAGATCAGCTGCATACAAGAGGAATGCTCCACCAACACAGAGCACGAGGAGGCTCTGACACTCCTCCACTAACAGGTGTAGCTGCAGCACAAGCTGCTTCCTTATCCCAAAATAAAAAAAGTTCAGGATGAAGGTCAAACAGTAAAGCAGCAAAACAGGACCCAGTCAATAAAGCAGCAAAACTGAAGCCAGTGCTGCCTCCCCCTTCCTTCTCCAGCTTCCTGCCTGTCCCCGGCTGGCCTCCGAGGGAGCTCCCTGTGAGGTGTGGCAGCTGGGAGGACCAGCAGGGACACACCTAATCCAGAGGAGAGGCAGGAATTGCTGCAGGGAATGGTCCCACCCCATTAATGAGGGGAGTTTGAGCCCTGAGAGCTGGGAGTGCAGACAAGAGCAGCCTTACTGGTGGCCCCCAGGCGCCGCGTGTCCCGGGCGATGTAGTTGGCAAAGATAATAGATCTCATGCTGGTCTTCCCAGACCCACTTTTACCCATCAGCAGCACCTGGGAAGGAAAAGAAAACCAGGAAGAATTAGGTATGAAACAGCACTAAGGCCTTCACAGCCCCCTCTAGTTGCCATCTCACTGCCAAAGCCACAGAAACACAGCACTGACATGTTTCAGCTGGGACTGCACAGGAGAGAGAGGCAAAGAGGAGCATCAGGCCTGGGAAGCAGGACATGGACATCCTTAACTCCTTTCTATCCATGGGCACTGGACTGTGGTCAGACTGAACACCTTCTCCCAACACAGCACTTGGGAAGAGCAGGAGCTGCCTCCCCCTTTCCCGGCCCCTCACCACAGGAAGAGCCCTGATGGCTTTCATGGCAGCAAACGACTTTGCCAGGACAGAGGAACAGCTTTGTCTCAAGCTGTTAAGACCAGACTGGAAACAATCCCTCCCCCCCTTTCCTAATCACAGGATGGTTTGGGTTGGAAGAGACATTAAAGATCATCTGATCCTGTTGTTCTCCTTCCCGTAATGTGACTTGTTTTCTCTTCCCCAACAGAAGTGACAATTCAAGTTTCAGGGGTTAGAAGACCAGAAGAAAGAAGTTAAAAGCAGGTGGGACAGCCCAGGTCAAGTGCACCAGTGTATGGGGGACACTTGACTCCAGAGTCTTGTCTGCAGGACATCAGGCCAAAGGAGAGGTACCAAAAAGTAGGGGATGCTGGGGCTTGGGGAGTGGGGATGAGGGGAGACAGTCCCACAGGAGACAGTCCCACAAGGCAAGACTTGACATTGTGATCTAAAAATAAAAATAAAAAAGAAACCCAAGCCAACCGTGGCAACCAACACAAAACCCAGCTGTTAAACGAGTTCCAGTCACAGAACCGAGTCCAGCCTTTGGCAACAGCTCTGGAAGTCTCCCATCAAGGAGAGGTTTAAGGAGAGCAGGGGCAATTTAAGGAGTGCAGGACACTGGCCAGGAGGGCACTTGCTCCACTCCCACCCTCTCTCTGTGACAGTACAACAGGAGCTGCCACAATTTCATGGGAAAACCTCAGCAGAATCCCACCTCTCTGCTCGCTCCAGTCATTCCTGCAGCTTCCCAGAGGCTGAGAGAGCCCTGGCCAGAGGAACCTGAGCACAGGCCTCCAGGATTTGGGAATGAGGCCTGTCCCTGAGTGAGGGAGGCTGGTCAAGCCAGCCCAGAAGGCTGTGCTGTCCCCTGAGCTCATCCCAGGGAACACAGCACAGCACAGCTCTTATTTCACAGCACCAGCACAAACGCCACAGCCAGGAACTCCATCCAGATCACAGGGAAACCCAAATCCCAAGTTTTGGGCTGCAGAGGCCTTGCAAAGGGATCAACCAGCAGGCAGGAAACCCAATCCCAGCACATCATGGAAAACCAGCCACATATTCCCTACACAGCCCCTTTAACAGCTTTGGATGTGCTTCTGCTGGAATACACCCACCCCTTCAATTCCCAGAGGAGCTTCTCCTTCCCCAAGGGTTAAATTCCATCCTCCCAGGAGCCCTGAGTGAATTATGGGCTCCCCACTGAGCTCCTGGACACCTTGGAAGGCTCTCCCCTTGGAAGGGCCAAGGAAGTGGTTTGGAGTAGATCCTCTTCCCCCACGCTGAGCACGGGGGTTTGCAGAGGGTTTTGCAACACATCCCAGAAACAGCTGCCCACAGTTCTGGTGGATGGCCCTGCAATCAGCCAGGAATAAACCCAATTTTAATGTCTGGCTCTTGATGCAGCCGCTGATTCCAAGAGCCTTCCAAGGCACCTGAGCCCCAGAGGGACGGACACAACAAACAACGACATTCCCAAACGGGGATGGGGAAGGAAAACCCAACAGCACAGGATCCCCCTCCCAGTCCTTACCTTCTTCTTCATGGCTGTGCTGGGCATCACACACCTGCCGAGAGAAGCCCACCTTGGATCGCTGCTTTCCTTGGATCACCGCTCGCCCATCCCGATCCCACCCCCGCAGCGCGGGGGAAGCGCTGGCACAGCCCCCCCTCCCCCTGCCATGGGGAACTCCCGCTGCTGGGAAACCTCCGGCACTCCCGGAATCCCACGGCCCGGGCGGGAGGGGCCGGGACCCCCCGCAGCCTCTTCCCCGGGACGAGCCGGGATGTCCCTGCCCTAGGGATGTTCCGCAGCCCCTTCCCCGGGGATGGCCCCAGAGCCCCTTTCCCAGGATGTTCCACAGCCCATTCCCCTGGGATGGCCCCACAGCCCCTTCCCCCGGGATGCCCCTTTCCCCGGTCCCCCCTTCCCCCCCAGCCCCATCCCCAGCCCGCCCCGAGGCCCTCGCCCCCATCCCCGCGGGGCCCCGCAGCGGCCTGGCCGCCGGGGCCGGGCCGTGCCCGCCGGTACCTGCGGCGGCGCTGGGCGGCTCGGGGGGGGCTGTGCCGGGGCGGCCCCCGGTGCCTGCGGCGGGTCGGGGCCGGCCGGGGGCGGTGCCGCTGTGGCCGCCGGTGAGTCGGGCGGCGGTGGCGCGGGGGGCGGGCCGGGAGTGTGTCCCAGTTTATCCGGGCGGAGTGTCCCGGAGTGTCCCGGAGTGTCCCGCCGTGTCCCGGTTCCCCCCCCACCGCCGCTCACGGGACCCAGCGCTGTGGGGCGGCCGCCGCCGGTCACGTGAGCGCGCGCGCGCGCGCGCACCCCGCCCGCCGCGCGCGCGCCCCCACCATCCCGTCAGGAAGCCCCGGCCGCCATGTTAAGTGAGGGCAGCCCTTCGCTGGCAAAGAGTGAGGGGGGGTGTGTGGCGAGGGTGTCCTGGTGATTCCCGGCCATTCCCGGTGGTCCCGAGGGCACGCGTGGGGCGGCGGAGCGGGGCCCGCCGGAGCAGCACCGCTCGGCGCGGCGGCGGGGAGAGGCAGTGGCACTTTGGGCCGCGCGGGAAGAATAACTTCCATCGCCTCCCATATGGTCTAGCGGTTAGGATTCCTGGTTTTCACCCAGGCGGCCCGGGTTCGACTCCCGGTATGGGAAGCTTCACCTTTTCCTGCCGGGAAGGGGGAACTGTCGCCCGTGTCTCGCCGCTTTCCTCAGATTTCTCTCGCAAAACTCTTTCGGGCTTCTTTTCCGCACCTCTGCGGCAAAATTTCTCCCTGTTTAAAACCTTCGAGTGCGTCGGACCGCACAGCCCCTCGCTAATTAACATACCGTTAATTGCCCTTTTAGCTAAGGCAAGCAAGAAAATTCCTGCTTGTGTCCCACAGAGTGTTTTAACCCAAGGCAAATACCATTGTACTGCAACTCCAGCAGCAGAAATCTGCTGGAGATATACATCTATAGAAATATATATATATATATAAATGTAATGTATAGAAATATATTACATATATTATACATAGAAATTTATTCTATTATATTACAGTAATATATATATTACATATATATAGAAATATATTTTATATGTATATATATAAATTGGGGGGGGTCTCATTGCTGAAAGAAAATCTTGGAGCAAAGCCAGATGTGTCCAATGCCTTTGTCACGAGGTGCCCATGCTCTGGCAGAAAGAACATGGGTGGCAGCAGATCCCACCAGGCTCCTCCACCAAAGCCCACCTGGGTTCCCACAGAGAGGCAGGGCAGGGCAGCCCCCCATCCACGGGGAGAAGTTGGGGTCTTCCTGGGAGCTCCCTCAAAGCTGGGGGACTCGGAGGGGACATCCCCACCGGCTGCTGTGGCCTCCTGGGTGCCAGAGATCCGGAGGTCAGGGGGGCTTCGGGAGACGCCGAGGTGGTGCTGCCACAAAGTCAGAGCCTTGTCACCTTGTGTGTCCCCTCTCAGGCCTTGTCACATTGTGTGCCCCTCTCACAGCCTTGTCACCCCATGTACCCCCACTCAGAGCCTTGGTACCCCATGTGTCCCCTCTCACAGCCTTGGCGCCCCATGTATCCCCTCTCACAGCCTTGGCACCCCATGTGTCCCCTTTAGAGCCCGGTCACCCCATGTACCCCCCTTTCAGAGCTCTGGCACCTCATTTATCCCTCCAAGAACCTCCTCACCTCATTTATCCCCCCTCAGAGCCTTAACACCTTCTGCACCCCCTTTCAGCGCCCTGGCACCTCATGGATCCCCCCTTCCAGAGCACCTGGCACATTTTGGCTCTGAGGCAATCCCTGCCTGGCAAGATTTTGGGACGTGGCCCCTCAGAGCTGCCTCTCCTGCCCAGGAAGGCCCTGCCCAGCTCTGCCCTCTGCCAGGGGGCCCCCAAGCAGGTTTTAGGGGGTCCGTAGACAGGATGACGTGTTCCTCGGGGGGCTGTGGGTTCCAGGGAAGCTGGGCTTGTCCTGGGTGGATGGTGGGGCTTGGCAGGAGACCCCTCAGCTTCTCTCAGCCTCTTCCAGCCAGGAATCCCCATGGAAACAGAGTCTCTGTGTCCCCTCATGAGGAAAACTCCTGCTGGTGTTTTTTGAGGTTACTTAAATGATTTCCAAGACCCACCCAGGGCTATAAATACCTGATGGAGTTCCAACTTCAATAAGAAGCTCTAAACAACCCTAAAAACAGAGGCCAGAAGTCTAAATTATAAAGAACTAAAGACTTCAGGCACCACCAAGGACATTTTGTTCCTTTGAACCCCAGAATGAAGATATTTCTGCTAAAATCTCAACCTGCATCTTAAGAGAAAGGAATTATTTCGTTCCACCAGGACACAGAGAGTACCAGGAATATTCAGTGCAGGGTCTCCCAGGAGGCCTTTCCTCCTCCTCCTGCTCCCACAGATGTGGGACACTCTGGCTATTGCCTGCCCTGATGCCTCCTTGTGACATCCACAGCCTTGGGAGTTCATGGAGTTGTTCTGGGAGCAGAGCCATGAGTGAAGGAAACCATTCCAGAGGGCTGGAGAGAGGAATGTGCAGCTCCAAAATGCATAAGGGTGAAGAGATGAACGACAGAGCTGACCGACAGGTATCCTTAGGGATAGAGCAGCCAGTTCCAGCTGGATGGGCTCTGAGGGAATTACCAGATTCCCAACTGGGAAGGGAAGCTCATTGCTTCCAAATCAGTGAACGAGGCACAAAACATTCCCTTTGGAGCCAAGGAGGGTTTGTACATCCATGCAAGGGAATTTCAGCCAGGGAAGTTTCTTGGATGCTGGATAAAAAAATATCCACACAGCAGAGGAAAATGTGTCCCAAGGGGGTCAACAGCAGCTGAAAAGGAGTTTTAGGACACACAGCCCCCACATTCCATGTGCTTCCCACAGAACTGCTGGGGTTGGGAGGGACTTGGAGGTGTCCAGTCCAACCCCTGCTCACAAGAGCAGGTGTCCAGGGCTGTGTCCAGAGAATCTCCAAGGAAAATGGGTGGGAATGGCAGTGATTGCCCAGAGGATTTCACGCTCTTAGGCTTTTTTAAGTCTTTTTTCCCCCATTACTTAAAGCTTTTAAGAGCCAACACAGCCAAAATTGGTTTTAGGTCTCTCTTTGAAGACTGGGAAAGATGTGAGGAAAACATCCCCCCTGTTCCTTTTTATATTTGCATTTCAAACATCAGGACAACACCCTTGTTAGAGGCATTTCACCTCTTCATTCCTCCATCTGAACCCTTAGAGGTTCCAATTAAGCAGAAAAAAAATTAAAAGTGTGATTAGCTGTGAAGGGGGAGCAGAATAAAATGGTTTTTTCCTCTCCCACCCCCTTCCTTCTGTACCTCTCCCTTTAAATGTGTCCTTTAAAGTACATTTTCAAAGAGAACTGTACAAAGTCAGAACATTCTGATAAAATCCCTTTAATTCTCTGATATTTTTGTAGGAGAGAAGCTCGTCTTCAATTTTGACACTAAGTTTATAATTTATCTGCACAAGGACAACATTCACTTGCTGCCAACACCTGCTCTGAGCTTGTTCATCAAGGGCCTCCTGCACAGATCCTGGTAATTGCACGTTTAAATTGTTGATGTTTGAAGCTTTATTGGCCAAACTTTCACTGGAACAATCCCAAAGGCTCCAAAAACTGCAGCTCAGGGACTGTACAGGAATAACAACACACTCCACGAGACAAACTGCAACCACTGAACTTCTCTGCACCTTCAACTCTCACTTTTAGGATTGTGACAGACAATAAATAGTTAGAAAATGTGTAGCTACACTATTTCCTTGCCAGGCTGCCCTGGAGTTTGTGTTTAGCAGTGAGGGGGGTTAGCACAGAGACATGAAGGCACCAGCACTCTGATCATCTTTTGCAGCACTACAGGAAACAAGCCTGGAAGCCTCAGTTCCAAAAATATCCAGGTTTTTCTGGTCTAAAATAGCCTCATCACCCAGGTAGTGTTTAACTGGCTTCATTACTGCAGCCTGAGATGAATCAGTGACCCCACAGGATTGTCACTGTGAGCAGCTCCCACTTCCCTCACACTGAGAAGAAAAAAAAATACACACACCCCCCTCAAAAAGCTGCCAAAACTTTAAGACAAAGCATTTTGTGTAAAAAGTGTAAAAAAGAAGTTCACTGTGCTCTGATAAAAGCTGTACCAAGGGCTCCAACAAGTGCCAAGACACTTTGTTCCCAGGGTCTGACTGTGGGGCTGCAGGATTTTCTGAACACACAGAACATTTTAATCTGCTTTAGCTGCTTTTATGGAAAAGAGAGACACAAAATGAGGTAACAACCCCCCTCCCTTCTCATCCTGCCCCCAAACCTGACTGAAGGGCAGCAGTAACTGTTGTTTAAAGAACAGGAAAACAAGGGCATTGTGTGAAAGCACTTGAAGAGACAAAATGTGTGGGTTGTAAAATCCTCCAGAGCAGGTGAGGTGGCGAGCTCTCTGTGCCAGTGCTGCCTGGGGGGAATTAGCACAGAATCATTAATCACAGAATCATGGAATGGGTTGGGTTGGAAGGGACCTTAAGGATCATCTCATTCCACCCCCTGCCATGGCAAGGACACCTTCCACTATCCCTGTCCAACCTGGCCTTGGACACTTCCAGGGATGGGGCAGCCACAGCATCTTCTTGTCTGTAATCACCCAAAATGATCCAGCAGGGAAAAAAAGAGGGAAGCTCAGAGGTGTTGGGACAGGAGGGAGCCTTGTCAGGTGGATTCTCCACATGGATATTCCCGTTCTAGTCCTGGAAAGCCTTTGCTGACCCCAGTTGTGATCACCCTTTGTTTGCTGCAGCATTCCTTTCTTACCTCCTGCTTTGAAAAGCAGAGAATCCTTTCCAAACCTGTCAGGAGGATACAGGGCAAGGGTGGAGCTGCTGATGAGCTTGGAAGGGTACGGATGATAACTGGGATGTGACTGGTTTGACTTCCAGATGTTCATCCAGCTGGAAATCAACACAACATTCCCACTCCAGCTCTGGGGCAAGGACTGGGGAGTGTGAGGGGTCTGACAGCACACGTGAGGTCAAGCCCAGAGCTCCAGCGGGGATTTGGGGAAGCTCATCCCCCATGGATATATGAATTCTGGAGCAGCCCCTGCTCGTTTTCCCACCTCCAGCTCCTGCCTTTTGAAGGTGATTTGGGAGGGGGTTTCCCCACTGCCCTTCTCCAGCTCCACGACACAAACGAGTTCGAAACGCTTGAGCTGAGGCCTCTCCCACGTCCCTCACCCAGATCCCTCTGGAAAACTGCCCCCCGGCCCCAGCTC